CTGTTGGACACATTCGTAATCCACTACTCTATAATCCTCCCCGCTTATTTCGGGAGTTCAACATAAAATACAAAAATAATAATTTTCACGTATTGAATGTTACGTATACAGCCCTGTATATGTTTAGGGCCCTGCGCGTTTCCAGAACGTTCGCTGCCGGTCACGTACGCATCCCTTGCGTGGGTGACTCACGGGGCGAGTCTAGCGTGGAACCTTCCAGAAAATGCCCAAATATGGTCATCCCCACCCCGAGAAAGGGCCTCATTTAGGTATAAAAGGGTGCTAGACCACAGCCCTCCGGATCATTCTGAACTAAGAGTCTAAGAACGTGGAAACGCTGCCTCACCCCGCTGAGAATATTCGTGTGAGTTTAGACTTAGATTTTCCCCGCGACTTCGCTGCGTAAATCGGAGTAGGAATTCTCTTACTGCAAGAGTTGATCAATTGATAAAATATTGTATCGAGTACATTAGAGAATATAAGACTGTGAGTTGAAACTCTTAAATTCGCGTCAATATTCATTTAACCCCTGATTCCATATTAGCTGATAACCGGAGTATCTCGCAACCGATACGTCTTAGCCGCTCGAGACGTATCAACGAAGGTGACCTGCCAATCCGACATCCTTTAAACGTAAGTGGCTAAAGGGGACTGACACTCCCTAGTCGTCCACGTCCTACGGCAACCGAAGCTAACTGTTATGTTATGAAGGTTCAAAAAATAAAATAAGAGATGTGCCATTAATTTGAACATGAATATTTATTAGTCAAGACGCGTGTTGGAGCCTATGAGTGCTCGAGCTAGACTGACTCTAGTCGGGAGGGGAGGCAGCCGCGTGAGTGCGTGAGTGCTGCCAACCCTAAGGTCACTCTACGGATCATCACACTAACACACAGTGTTAGATTAGGATCGTCTGCGCTACGGGGCACCGACCGCAAAGGGTTAAACCAGGACTGACCCAGTCATACCTAAGTACATCAGTGGCTAAAGGGGACCGACCCTCCCTAGTCGTCCACGTCCTACAGCTACCGAGGCTAACACACAGTGTTAGATTAGGACCGTCTGTGCGTCTTTGTCTTTCCCTAATTACACCCGACTGAGTCGTCTGACTCGGTTAATCGTCGGGCCCTTGGCACGGTTCTCCCTCGTAACATGAATTACGACAAGAGTGCTATACATTTAACATAATAAACATACTTTATAAATTTAAACGTTGTACAAGTTTAATCACTCTTTTCGGACGCGAATTAACATTTAAATCCGGGTTCCGTAATTGAGGAAAACATTCCTTGACATTCTCTTGAATTTCTGGACGTTGTTCCTCAACCTTTTCCTTGTCTGGAACGACTTTTTCTTTCCCGTTACCATTTTCGTTAACCATTCCTGGATGATTATCCATTGACTTTGATACTTTCGTATCTTGGACTGTGTCCGTAGTTGAAAGGTTGTCTGTATATAGACTTCCTGATTTGATAATCTGATCTGTATGACTCTTCCAAAGATTTCTTGTTTCTACTAGAGCATTGTTACTACCTTTGACGTACTGTAGCTTGAAATCAAAAGAGCTTAAATATATTGCCCACCTTTGTAGTCTGCCTGCAGTCATTTGTGGGATTCTTTTTTGTTCACCAAACAGAGCTACTAAAGGTTTGTGATCTGTACACAACGTAAAAGTTCTTCCTACTAAGTATTGGAAAAATTTCTGAACTGCCCAATAGATTGCTAACGCTTCTTTGTGAATAACGGAATAGTTTTTCTCAGCTTTGCGGAGAACTCTCGACGCGTAGCTAATTGGTTTTTCTTCTCCAGTTGGAAAAACGTGCAAAAGTACTGCTCCAATTCCTTCCTTGGAAGCGTCACAAAAAGTTTGATTGGAAGCTCAGGATTAAAATGTGTCAGTACTTTGTCTGAAACTAACTCTTCTTTTAGTTTTTGGAAT